TTTCTTCCAGAAAACATATTCCTCCGGCTGAAGGGTGGAGCAGAACTTCCGTAATGTTGATATACTGACAGATTTAGGCCAGGAGTATATAGGCAGGCTTGCCATTGCGTTTTTTAAAAAAATTATTATTTTTTTAAAACCCTTTGAGGGCGACCGTTCCAGATCACAGGAAGCCGCTGCTCACCTTGTTGTCCGTATCTTTCTTGCCTACAGCCGACTGCAGGGCGTGAAGGAGGGCATCGACCAAGCCCTCGCACTCCCGGAGCCGTCTGCGTGCTTCGGCGCCATCTGAACTAACGTTCCTGCAAATGAGAGGTCAGGACTGTCATCAAGGGAGCTTCCAAAACAAATTGAGTAACTTTCTCTTAGATGCTTATTAGAGTCATTCGACACCAAATTAACGTTACAGTTCTTGTAATCTCGCAGGCTGCCTCTCGTAGGCAGGGCTGAGGAGGAATTTTCTGGGCTGGGGTGAAGTGTCAATTTATCTCACACTAATAGTTCCCCCTCCTGCCTCTGATTTCAGAGAGTTCTGCCTCTCTGCTCAGCTCTTTCCCCACCTATTTAGTCTGTTGGAAGCAGCCAGTTTGTTTGAGGCCCGTTGCTGTAGGCAGCCACATTTTGTTAGTTTGCTGTTTGTTCTGTTCAGAGCTGTAAGTAAAAGAAGTGGTTTTTATTATTTCTATTATTAATGCTTCAGAGTGAGTTATTGAGGCTGCAAGTGCTGGCTGACCAGTAAAAAGGGGGTACACTCAACTGGGGGAATGTGAAGCTATTCTGCTCTGTGAACCTCCTGCACTTCTGCTGCCCAGCTAGAAGATTTTTTTAACCAACATTCAAAACTGCAACAATAAATTAATCATTTGCAGAACCAACATTATACAGGAGCTGGAGTGTTCCCACAAAAAACAACTATTTTCATTTTTTTGTCTTGCCTGCACATTCACCAAGGTGCACTTGGGGGAAAAATAAGTCAAGTTTTCTGTGTGTAAAATGTTCCAATCTGTTCACTTATCAGAGAATAGGAAGCCACTTAAAACAGCGTTGCATTAAAAACCTATACAGTACACACACTGTTTATGAAAATGCCTCTTTCGGCGACAATGAATTTTAATTCCAGCTACAGTGAAATCAATGAGACTTATGCTGTTGTAATTAATGAGCTCAATTCAATTCTATGAGTATACTCTACGTGAGACTAAAATTGGATTCTCTTTTATTTATTTGGGAAAGACCTCAGGGTTTCTTTTCCTTTGGCTAGGTAGCTTAATTACATAAGTCACAAACCAAATACAGATTCACAACAATA